TCGCGTGCTATATTCCCGGCCGTGATCTTCAGCTTCTAGGCCATGATCTTTAGCTTCCTTCCCCTTTGCTACACTTGTGACCTTGTTTTGTACCTAATTTGTATATATCGTCTAATGCACCCTAAAATCACATTGAATTCAAATAGGAACAAAATAAGGATGCAATTGACGATGATTAAGCATTTATGCACATAAATTGGCACGAAACAAACCTCGATATGAGGGTTAAATAACACTAATTTAGGTGTTATCAACTACATACCTAGCTAGGTTATACTTGGCCTTGTTAGGATTGACTAGTGAGTGCGCTTCGACTTTATAAATTTAAAGCTCGATCGAAGCAACGATCAATAAAATGCTCTTGATAGCTCTTTGTTCATTAGGTTGCTTTGTACCTTGAAAAACATCAAAAGTATACCAAGAAAGCATCAAATAGCACAAGAACATTATCTTGGTCTATTAACAGCTCATTGATCAAATAGTTATGAATCTGACAAGAAATATCATTGAAATGACTAAATATGCTTCACTAGAAGGGCTCCCATACCATCGCATAGAGAACACACTCTCTGATGCTTGCCTTGGAGGATATTTGGAGCTCACAACACAAATTTCTATCTTCCAGGAGCTTTGGAAGACCATTACATGAGATCCAAAGGTTAAGCTTCCTACAAGATACTCCTCACCGACCATCATCCAACTGCCATTACCGAGGTTCATGCATTACTTTGGCTGAACAAGTTTCAACATGAGGCATATGGGAGATGGTGGTAAGATGACCACCAATGATATGATCATGTACCGTGCCTTGGTACATCATTGGTGGCTTTATCCGACATGGTTGGTGGTTGACAACCTGCTGAGGTACACATATGTCACCTCCCCATAGGGAAGAGTATGGATTTTCTCTCTGGGATACAATAGCAAGTGAAAGACCTATCTATCGTCAGGCAATTTTCACCTTTGGATTCGATAAGATGAAAAGCAAGGGAGTTGACCTTGCTAGTAGTTTTCCCCCCACATATGTTGCATGGAATAAGGCTAGAGACCATCAATGCACTTACATGGATTACCAGAGCATGGATTTGGAGCTAGACATCCACCACCACCACCACCTCCGCATGGAGATTTTGGAGGCAAGCTAGCATAGCTTAGAGCAGCAATGGAGCATACAGAGGAGAGCCTACACAACTACTAGACATTGAACGAAGCAACATTGGGATTCCTGGAGCATGAGAGAGAGATAAAGCGAGATAAGACTCGAGCGTAGCACAAGAGGTAAGAGGAGGCATAGTAGTAGAGTCGTTTGTGGATGGATGGAGGACTTCAACAGATCATTTAGAGGCCTCTACCGAATGAGTTACCCACTAGCAGGAGGACCTAGCATGTAGATGATGGAGTTTAAGGAAGCCATTTGTATTTCCTTTTGTTTTAGACTATTTCAAGTCACTTCAAGACAATTTTGGATGACTAGCTACATTTAAGTCTCTTAAAGACAATTAATAACTTTATTCTTCCCCTACAAGCATGATCACTTATCATCTTACTTTGAATCATTTAGTCTAGTTATCATCACTTGATATATAGTGAGGCTAGTGTACTGATTATGAAGGATGTGATAGTCAATGAGATATAATGACCAATTGATGTATTTGAATATCATATTTTATGATCTTTTTAAAGATTTGTGATTGTGCAAAAAGAGTCTCTTGTTTTCAAAATCTTTCATAAGGGTGAACTGTATCTTTAGAAAAATGCATAAAATTTCTACCCATTTAGACATTATAATAAAATTTGCCATGGTTTGCTGAGAAATAAAGTGTGGGGTAAGCCCAACGTGTGAGGCATCTTTCATTGCACTTCAAACGGGTTTTGGATGAGATACTAATTGAGCTTTGGTGGGATAGTACGAGGTGATGCTAGTTCCTCTCTTAAGGGCATGAATATAGCACCCGACACCCCTTAATTTCATTGACCCTCCACACGAGTTGAGGTAAAGGAATTCTAAGCTCTTGTTTGACTAATCAGAATAAAGTTCAAAAAGAGCTCTCCACCAGGAGAAAAATCAGGAAAGGAAAAAAATAGTTGGTTGCAAGAGAAGAAAATTCAAAAATCCTAAAAAGAGGTTGAGTTTGAATAAAGCAAGGTGCTTTAAAGATATGTCAAGTTTATGGTAGAAAGCATTCAAAGTTTAAATCTTTATCAAAAGCTTCACCCTGACGTATAGAGACACTGATGCATGATTACTTATTGATTCTTGGATTATATGGTATGATGTTCTAGCATATTGATGTGGTTGATAACAACCAAAAAGGTGTTTTTTAGCCTTCATTTATTAGGGTTTTTATTGTCATTTTGAGCATGATTATATTTATAAAACATCATTTGTACCATAGATCGCTTTTTTTTGGTCATATCATGTCATTTCAAGTCGCATTTGACGTTACAAGCGAAAAAAGGGAGAAAATGGGGCTAATGTATAGGAAAAAGGATAAAAGGGACCAAACACCAAGATTGCATCCTAAGGAGCAAGATCTCGATCGAGAAACCAGGCCGCGAAATAGAGCGAAAAGATCGCAGGCTGAAGCCAAATGATAGCGGCTGCGATTTTGCGACTCTCGTGTGTGAACTTGAGGAGGAAGTGTCAAAGAGAGGCCAGAAATTTTTGACAGGAAAACCCAGACTAAATGATGAAGTAGAAGATCGCAGGTGTCACGGTCGTGATCTTTCATCCCTCAGTTGTGATCTTGCCAGAGATTTTCAAGGGCTATAAATAGAGGATCTGTTGGAGAAGGAAGTGAGAGCAGACTTTGAGGAAGAAACTTATGGTTTTTGGGCAGTTTTAGTGAGATAAACACCTTGGGAGAGTTTATAGGAAGATCTAATCCACCCAAGGAGCAAAGAGAAGGTGTAATCCAAGGAGAAGAAGATGATTTCCACCACTCCTCTTTTTAGTTTGTATTTTCTCTCTCTATGACTTCAATCCCTAATGTTGTTTAAGGAAGATGAACCCTAGTTTATATAATGTTTATGGGTCATGTGTATAAAAGATTATTAACCTATAATCTATATCTATTTGATGTTTTTGCATAAAACTATTACTTGATTTTGATAGATTTATTCTTAACCTAGGTGATAATTCAATCCCCTTAGGCCAAAAGTGCTTAGACATAAATTAGTGTGGGATTGTATGTATCCCATTTGCCTTAGTCTCAACCTAGATAATGGGGGAGTTACCATTACTTTACACATGAGTTTATGGTGTATTTGAGTTTGGCTAGGGTGCTTAATGCTTCTAATTAGGGTTAGATGTGTGTGAATGCTTCTTATCTTGATTAGTTGACCTAGAAGGCTAGCTAGAGGTCGAGGTGACCATCCCCTTCTAGTTAGATTCTCATCTAATTGATCCTTGTAGATTAGGTGTGTGACCATCGACCTACTCGACTTTTGTGAGGACAAATTTAAGCCATTTAGAGGAGGTAGAACCTACCCCTTGTTAGGTAACCCAGTTGAGATGACATTCGAACAAATATCCTAGCTAAGAGGGGGATTAATTGCATGATCATTCAGTAAATCCCCACCTTCATGACCTCCACACCTCAAGGCACCCTTAGATTAATGCCCATAACAACCTATAGCTAGAGGGAATCAATCCTAGACAACCATCTCATCTCTAACAGTCTCAACCACTTGGTTGGTTGTGTTTAGGTAGTTATGTTAGGTTAGTTCTACTCCCAACCTTCTGAGTTGATTAGATAGTAGTTTGTAGAGAAATAATAGTAAGCCTAAGGTTCCCTTGAAATACGACCAAGCCATTTTACTAAATCCCTAGCATAGTTATACTTGGCTTTGTTAGGATTCACATGAGTGAGCTTAAATTTACAAATTTAAAACTCATTAAGTTTTTAGCGCCATTGCCAGGGACATCGTAGGTTTTTAGGAAAAGCCGAGAACTACTAGTCTAATCGTTTTTGCCGTTTTTGTGTGTAGCATCAAGATTTTGGTGTCGTTCTCTTTTTTTTTTTTTTTTTTTTTGCTTTTGTATAATGTTTTGTAAATATTGTGTTTAGTTTAGTCTTTTAGTTATGTCTTATTTTTTTCTCGTATTATTCTTTCATTTATTATGTTTCATTTAGTTATCTTGTATTAGGTTATTGTTAGTTATGTCTTACTTAATTTACACTTTTACTTTCTTAGGTTGTTTTTGTTTTTGTGCGTATAGATATGTCAATACAACAAATTCGGCCTATTGTGACGAGGAAATTTTGTCATATTAGATACCTATTTTGTCATATTAGGTATAATATGACAAAAGGTGTTGTCACAAAGGTTTTTCATTTTATCGCCGTCAAGATAAATCAAATGTGACAAAATATTAAAACAAGGTTGTCAGATTTTCTTTCAGTATAACTGAGGTTCTAGGTAGTCTATTGTGACAAATAGAGATGTTATGACAACATATTTTGTCATTATGATTGTCATAATATGGTGATTTTGGGAAAAATAGTTTTTGAAATAACCGACACAAATTATAAATTAAAAAATAAATAACTTCCGGCGAACGTAGATCGTGGCCTGGATCTTTGCCAAAGAACATGTGTTTCAAGTTTTGGATTATGCCAAGGAGCTCCACACTCATTCAATTAATTCCTTTACCAATGTAAAACATAAAAAATTCTCCGGATGCAGTCCAAATTCGGTTCAAGCGACAACCACTAAATAAAAAAAATCCAGACCTGCAAGGGGTACAAACGGTAAAGAAGAGTACAAACGGCGAGAGCTTGATGCTATGGCATTCAGCTGCGGAATAATTGAAGAAAGTTCCCGAAAAACTCCAAAAAACCTAGAACCCTAAAAATATTCTCGATTTTCTTGCCATAGCAGAGGATGAAGAAAAAGCTCGAACAGAGAGGTCAATTCCAGATCTGGAAGTAGCTTAGGAATGGAAGAGGAAGAAGACGCCCTCAGACGGACTGGGACGACGTCACTGCCACGTAGCACCTCGGCATCATCGCCACTAGACTGCGCCCGCTACAACTCCTCCCCCCGACTCCGGCGTTGAACTAGATCCGGTCGCCGCCTCTATTCTCTTTCCATCCTCGCGATCAGCACCCTAAAATGGAAAAAACATAATAAACATCAATGGAAAGAAAATCGAAAACTAAAACCTTATCTGCATGAGGCAATCTTATCGATACAATGACCTATGTAGTAAGATCTTAACTTCCTGTCAGCGATGAAGAAGAAAGATAAAAGATGTCAAGTGGAATCAGTAGACGAGAAAATGACGGTGGTTGACCTCGTCATCGTTGTCGTTGTCTGCATGTCGTCTCTATTGGCCTGGTTGGACCAAATCAAATCAGAAGAGGGGGTACCCACAACATGTACACCCCGGCTTGGTGCTCGCCTCGACCTCATAGCAGTACCCCAATCATACCCTTTCTCTGCCATCTCCTCAAAGAGCTGATTCAACTGCGGCGGCGGCGTGGTCAGCATGTTTCCGCCACAAACCGAGTCAATCAGCTGCTTGTCTTCTGGGAAGAGGGCATGGTAGAAGGTGCCCACCTTGAAGGCGTCAGTAAAACCATGGTTGGGACACTTGAGGAAAAGACTGGTGTATCTTTCCCAAGCATCCCGAATGGTCTCATCTTCATCCTGGGTAAAGTGGGTGATCTGGTTCTGCAGGTCCGCCATCTTCGACGGAGGATGGTAGCGGGTGAGGAACTTGTCTGCCAGGTTGGAGAACGTGGTGATTGAGTCTGGAGGTCGAGTGTCCAACCACTCCTTGGCTTGCCCCTCCAGAGTAAATGGGAAGTACCTCAATTGGATGGCATCGACTGGGACCCCCTTGATCTTGATCCCATCGATGAGCTCGTGGAATCGCCTCAGGTGTGATCGGGGGCAATCCCCCTCCTCGCCACGGAATACCACCGAGCCGCGCAGCATGGTGATGACAGAGGTTCTCACCTCAAAGTTATTGGCTGGAAGTTGAGGGTGCTGAATGGGCGAACTCATGTCCGCGGCTCTGGCGGTCCAGTAATACCCCATGGTGTGCTCATCGGGGACAACCACGTCATTGTTGTGAGGCTCACCCATGTCTTCCTCCTGATTGATATGAAGCTGTGCTAGGGCCTCCTCAGCAGCCACTCGCACCTTTAAAGCCCGCTTGAAGTTCCTGCAAGTCCGTTCAAGCTCTTGGTCTAATGGCAGTAAGTCTCCCGACTGGCTACGAGTCATGCACTACCTGCACACAGAATGCAAACACAACCCATGAAGGCACAAAGGTGGAAGAGAGAAAATGCAGTAAAGAAAAAGCTAGAGTTACAAACTTTCATGTTTCCACAATAACCTACAAAAACTTGACACGCTAAAACACAACACCAAACTGCAACCAAGCATAATCGCAGTCTGGAAATGCAGTAAAATGGCAAGCTCTATTTGTCAACCCGGGGTCTAGATCTACTGCCTACTCCGTGATTATCTATTATCTAGCAAATTAAGTCGAGTGATTGTGATTTTAACTAAAAGCAGTAAGAAACAAGGAAATGGTTCAAAGTTCTTTAGCAAGGGAAGAGTCACTCAGGAATGAGTCCCCCTAGCTCCTTAGTTAAGTCAAGTTTGTAATTATCCTGGGTTGATTAACAGTTGATTAAACTGCGGAAGATCCGACAGTAGTTTGGAATGTCTTAAGCTGACCAAGCCCTCTTAGGCAGACTAATCGGCAGGCAACTAGCCTTCACCTGGATAGACAGCTGAGGCAATAAACACAGAACTCCACTACTGAAATTAGATTCCAGTACAAAGAAGTAAATCGATTAACTCTCGTATAACCAATCTACCACTACCGATTGATGAAGCTCTAGCAACCTAATCAGATTCTATCTATCTCAGGTTGCAGTAGAAATCAAGAAAAGATGATCAGGCTTCAATTGACTCAATGAATCATGCATCAATCGATTATAACCAATCAGTATAACAATCCAAAGTCATTACAATCAAGATTCCTAACACATGGAACTAGGGTTCTTCATACCCAAGTGAGAGAAGGTTCTACTCCAAAGAGAGAGAGAGAGAGAGAGAGAGAGAGAGAGAGAGAGAGAGAGAGAGAGAGGAAAACAGAAATCAGAGTAGTCATACTCATAAAGATGAGGATAATCTGTTCTGGGATGTCGATCTTCACTCCTAGGGATGCAATCTGGGCTTAAATGGTGAGAAATCCACTCCAAATAGCTCCTAGGATTTGTTCTTTGCAGTTTCTCTCTCTAAAGCTCTGTTTTTTGCTCAAAAATCCGATTCCCTCACCTTTGGCTCGAATCTGCCTAAAAAACCCGATTCTGGGCGAAATACGGGCTGAATTACAGTCGTAATTCTTCTCTACCCGTATTTTGCTCAAAACGCGCGTTTTGGTTAAGTTTCAGCTCATCCAAGGCTCCTCTCGACCGTGAAAATATGGGCATGGGAGGGGAAAATACGGTCGTATTTCTCCTCCCCGTATTTCTTCCTCCGCTCCTGTTTAATGCTTCGTTTCTCCCTCGTTCGGACTCCAAATCAGTCGCCGTTTGATCCCAGACGATCGTAGTCTCGTCCTCTTTATTTTTATGACAAGCTTCCATGATTATTTGTCCATAATATGAGGTAGATGTCCATTCTTCCTCAGGTCATGCTCGTGTTTCTTCTCCCGAATTGCCAAATGATCTCCGATTGACTTGAAATTTGCGTCTATGCTTCAATTTACATGCTAGGACCTGAAATGTAACAAAGGAACACAACCTAGCGTAAAATAGTCCAAGAAATCAAAAACTCAATCCAAAATAATCAAGAAACGAGGGTGCAAACATGTGCAAATACGACGTTATCACGATGTCAAAGAGGAGATCTTTATTGAGTACCGAACAAATTTGTTCAAGATCTCTCTTCTTGTCTTTCAACCTCTTGAGCATCTCTTTGTGTTCCACTAAGAAATCTTTAATGGAAGGGTCGGGATGTCAAGAGTGCTTAACCATCAATTAGTGTGAGATTGTATGTATCCTATTTTCCTTAGTTGCAACCTAGATAATGTGGGAGTTATCAATACTTTACACATGATTTTATGGTGTATTTGAGTTTGACTAGGGTTTTTATTGCTTCGAATTAGGGTTAGATGTGTGTGAATGCTTGTTACCTTGATTTGTTAACCTAGAGGGCTAGCTAGAGGTCGAGGTGACCATCCCCTTCTAGATTAGGTGTGTGACCATCGATCCACCAGACTTGTGTGTGGACGGATTTAAGCCGTTTAGAGGAGGTAGAGCCTACCCCTAGTTAGGTAACCCGGTTGAGGTGACATTAGACCAACTATCCTAGCTAAGAGAGGGATCGATTGCATGATCATTGAGCTAATCCCCACCTTCGTGACCTCTACACCTCAAGATACCATTAGATTAATGTCTGTAACAACCTATAGTTAGAGGGAATCAACCCTAGACAACCATCTCATCTCTACTAGTCTCCCAAACACTTGGTTAATTGTGCTTAAGTAGTTAGGTTAGGCTAGTTCGAATCCCAACCTTACGAGTTGATTAGATAGTAGTTCGGAGCGAAATAATAGTAAGCCAAAGGTTCCCTTGGAATACGATCGAGTCAATTTACTACATCCCTAGCATAGTTATACATGGCTTTGTTAGGATTGACATGAGTGTGTCTCAATTTACAAATTTAAAACCATTAGTGGTTTGGATTCTCTCGTGATAACTTCGAGCTTGTAAGTTGCTTATGATCCACTATTTAAGATCAAGGTTGGGTGATGGTTTCTATTCATATGCAGACTTTCCAACTTCAACCACAAGCCTGCAACACTCTTCTCAATAGCGACTTCAATGATGATATCATCAAATAATGATAGCATGATGGTTGAGTGGGCCTACTCCAAGGTATTCCACTATTCATCATTGACCCATGTCATCTTTTGTTTACCAGATAGCGGCCACCATAGCCCTTGTCGTTTCAATAACACCTGCATCTTGATCTTCCATATACCGAAATTATTTTTCCTCGTAAACTTTTTTATCTTGTCTTTTTGGAGAAGACCGTCGTAGAAGGTTTCCATCCGAAACTGCTCTCCAAACCCGTGATGTGGACATTGGAGGAAAAATTCAGATTACGTCTCCCATCCATCCCTCAAAGTCTCGTCCTTCTCTTGAGTGAAGTAAGTGATCTTCTTGCGTCACTTTGTCGTCTTTGAATGTGGACAATATCAGGCCATGAACTTGTTGAGCAATTCGTCCCATGAGCTAATCGAGAGGGGTGGTCTATTATTGAGCCACCTTAGTGCTTTCCCCGCAAGAGATTAGGGGAAAAGCGTCAACCTCAAAGCCTCTTCAGATACCCCCATTGATCTTCAAACTTCCCGCAATCTCAATGAATCTCTGGATATGCTCCCTTGAAGACTCATCCATAAGCCCATGGAATTGGATGTTGTTCTGAATCATTGTGACGAGGCTGAGCTTGATCTCGAAATTGTTGGCGGCCATGGGTGGATGCATAATGGTTGGTTGAATATCCGCCGCCCGTGGAGCCATATAATAGCCCATGGTCCTCGTTTCCTCATTTCCCTCTTGGGCGTTTTGATTCTCCGCCATCTCGGCTTCACTTCCTTCCTCTTGTTCCAATTCAACTTCTTCCTCAAATTCAACTTCGAGATCAAATTGTGGTTGTTCCCTCTCCTCAATCATTCTTCTTGCTTCCACCAATTCCCTGTCACGAGCCAAGAGTCGAAGAGTGCGGTTGATATTCTCGTCAAGTGGCACTAAGGGGCTCGGATTGCTCCAGGTCATATACCCTCCTACACACACGTCAAAGAAAAACAACTCAAGCTAACACAAGCAAGATTCACAATCAATAAAGCAAAAAGTAAATGATAGATTTAACACCAAACAATATTTTCATAATAATGAACCGAAGTTCCCCGGAAACAGCGTCAAAAACTTGCCTCTCTAGGACTACCATGATTTAGATCCCGACTAGGGGCCAAGTATCAACTCTAGCCGAGTGCAGTATAGAGCAAGTATTTAAATGTCAAACTCAGGGCGGTCCATGTACCCTACTTCAATTTTTTGAAACATTATCTAGCAATCGATTTTTGGTTAAACTATGGACTACAATTAAAAACAATTGGACAATTAAATGGTTTTGCACACTAACTGAGAAGGCTTCACTCGGGTGTTGCTCCCCCTAGCTAGTTATCAAGATTAGTTGAACCGAATGCAAGTGTGTAGTAAAGAGGTTGTAAACTGAAGGAAGCGCAACAAGTGAAGAAGCTTCACTCTCTCTATCGTTAGGCCAAGGGATATCAAATCAAGCTACCAAAGTAGCTCTCTTGGCCAATCGACTAAGGGTTGCCTAGACTTCTCCCTCGAACCATAGTTCGAACGGCCAAAATAAAACCTGCTCAAGGTGCTAAAACGTAGTATGATGTTTGCCCTAGTTTAGCCTAAGTATGTGGCTCAATTTGGCCAAGTAATTCCAACTTTTGAAAGCCACTTAGCAAGAATGAGATTTCCCTCTGTCTATGTCAAATTGGCATAATAGTTGGAAATGGAAAGCACAACACAACCTTCATGAAAATACCTCAATACTTGCATTAAAACACAACTACACACAAATCATTCAATTCATACAAACAATCACATGATTCTAACTAGGGTTCACAAACACCCAAGTGAAAGGATGAGACTACTCCATGCTAATACTAGGGAATACACAAAAGAGAAGAGAAAATACCATCTTGAGATGTTTGCCTTCTTCCTTTAGTGTGGAGATCAACCTTGGAGGATGAAATTCCCAAATTTTGGAGTTTGGATGTAACCCTAACCTTCTTCTCCTATCATGTTCGTCGC